TGCCCAAATGAAATAGCCACTGAATGGGGCCCTTGGTGGCCGCGTGGGGTGGCAGTGGGTTGGGGGAGCTGGCCAGTGCAGCCGCAGGCCCTCACGTACAGTCCTGTCTGTGTGTCCCATGGAAGCGCTATGTGGATGGTGGCATTTCGGACAACCTGCCACTCTATGAGCTTAAGAACACCATCACAGTGTCCCCTTTCTCGGGCGAGAGTGACATCTGTCCACAGGACAGCTCCACCAACATCCACGAGCTGCGAGTCACCAACACCAGCATCCAGTTCAACCTTCGCAACCTCTACCGCCTCTCCAAGGCCCTCTTCCCGCCTGAGCCCCTGGTGAGCTCTGCTTCGGGGACTGTGGCCTTCCCAGCCACTCCTCACTGAGCACCAAGGGAGAACACTGCTCCTTTGACTTCTGAGTGCCCAGGGTAGGGTGGGGTCTGTACAGCCTCTTCTGAGGGCTGCGGGAAAGTGCGCAGCCTCTCTAGGGGCAGATGGCCCATCCAACCTCTGTCCAGGCTCCCCGTCCAGCCTCTCTCTCTCTTTTTTTTTTTTTTGAGATGGAGTCTCGCTCTGTTACCAAGGCTGGAGTGCAGTAATGCGATCTCAGCTCACTACAACTTCTGCCTCCTGGGTTCAAGCTATTCTCCTGCTTCAGCCTCCCAAGTAGCTGGGATTATAGGCGCCTGCCACCATGCCTGGCTGGCCTCAAACTATTTTTTTTTTTTTTTTGAGACGGATTCTCACATTGTCATCCAGGCTGGAGCGCAGTGGTGCGATCTCCGCTCATTGCAAGCTCCGCCTCCCAGGTTCATGCCATTCTCCTGCCTCAGCCTCCCAAGTACCTGGGACTACAGGCACCCGCCACCATGCCCGGCTAATTTTTTGTATTTTTAGTAGAGACGGGTCTAGGATAGGTTTTGGGGTTGGGGCCTGTGGGTGGTGAAGGGAGGTGGCCCTCAGGGGCGCCAGGGACTCCAGGGGCAGAACAAGCATCCCTGGCTCCCTCTACTCCGTTTAACCCTCCTCACCACAGGTGCTGCGAGAGATGTGCAAGCAGGGCTACCGGGACGGCCTGCGCTTCCTGCAGCGAAACGGTGCGTGGACCCCGGCGGGACAGGGCGGGGTGGGCTCGGCTCTGCTGCACCCTGCAGGCCTGACGAACTGGGAATCCCTCCTCGCCCCCACCCCAGGCCTTCTGAACCGACCCAACCCCTTGCTGGCGTTGCCTCCCACCTGCCCCCACGGCCCAGAGGACGAGGACGAGGCCATGGAGAGTGGCCAAGCGGTGGACCACTCACAGCTGCCCAGGGAAGATCACATCCTGGAGCACCTGCCCGTCCGACTCAATGAGGGTGCGCACCTGGGGACTGGAGGGGAGGAGGGGAGGCAGGAGGGGAAGAGAGAGAGAGGACGGTGAGCCGAGGAGGGAAATCTAGGGGGTCCTGGGCTCCTCTGCCTCCACTGGCCGCTGACCTCCCGCCTACCCGCAGCCCTGCTGGAGGCCTGCATGGAGCCCACAGACCTGCTGACCACCCTCTCCAACATGCTGCCCGTGCGTCTGGCCACTGCAATGATGGTGCCCTACACGCTGCCGCTGGAGAGCGCTCTGTCCTTCACCATCCGGTGTGGGGGCCGGGGGGTCGGGAGAGGGGCCCTGGGGACGGACTTTGGGATCATCCGCGAGTGATGGTCACCAGGGAAGGTGGGGTGGGGTGGGCAGTACCGAGTCAGGGCACAGACAGGGCCCAGCGGGTGGGCATGCGAGCCCCTGAACGCGCTGCTTGCCCTGTCCCCAGCTTGCTGGAGTGGCTGCCCGACGTTCCCGAGGACATCCGGTGGATGAAGGAGCAGACGGGCAGCATCTGCCAGTACCTGGTGATGCGCGCCAAGAGGAAGCTGGGCAGGCACCTGTCCTCCAGGTGAGCCGCCGACCGCGTGTCCACCTGGGGCCCGCGGTGCTAGTGCCGGGAGCTGAAGCCCTCCCTAACGTGTCCCTGCCCCGCAGGCTGCCGGAGCAGGTGGAGCTGCGCCGCGTCCAGTCGTTGCCCTCCGTGCCGCTGTCCTGCGCCACCTACAGCGAGGCACTGCCCGGCTGGATGCGCAACAACCTGTCGCTGGGGGACGCGCTGGCCAAGTGGGAGGAGTGCCAGCGCCAGCTGCTGCTCGGCCTCTTCTGCACCAACGTGGCCTTCCCGCCCGAAGCTCTGCGCATGCGCGCATCTGCCGGCCCTGCCCCCGCCGACCCCGCCCCCGCCGACCCAGCCGACCCAGCCGACCTCGCGTCCCCGCAGCACCCGCCGGGCCTGCCCCCTTGCTGAGTGCCGCTGCTCTCACGGCCTGGCCTGTGATCGGGGCCCTGGGGCTGCCTGAGACCCCAACCCTCTCCAGGGATCCTGCCTGAGATGCCTGCTTTACCACTGCAGAGTGACGAGATGGGGGGAGTCACAGCTGCCAAGAGGGGCCTTTACCGTGGGCCCCTCGCCAGCCACTCACCAGCTGCACTGAGTGGGGAGGTTTCCACACCTCTCCCCTGGGCCGCTGAGGCCCCGCGCACCTGTGCCTTAATCTTCCTTCCCCTGTGCTGCCTGGGCACCTCCCCCACCCCCTTACCCCCGAGAACTTTGCAGCTTCCCTTCCCGCCCCATTTTTCATGTCCTGCTGAAAAATGTGTGTGAAGAATTATTTATTTTCGCGAAAGCACATGTAATAAATGCTGCAGCCCAGCCTCTGCCCACTTCGCGTGTATGTGACTGCCCGCTTGCTTGCAGAGCCTGGCGGCCAGGGTCTGGCCCTGCCTCGGCTGACTAGCGTCTCCACAGCTGCAGGCCGGGTCTCCCAGCATCGCACTCCTGGGCCTGGCATTTGGAACCTGCCAGGTTGGCCTAGGAACCCCCCGCTACAGACACATGTGAGCCTGCTGCATTCCTGCCCACCCCCCTGTCTAGGACCCATCCACATGCCCCCCAACTTGCCCTCGGCCTCCTGGCTGACCCTTGGCCACAGCTTTCTGAGGGCCAATGGAAATATTTGGGACCGAGATCCTTGGTAAATAAAAACCAAAATGTTTACAAAAGGTGTCACCTGCCCCTCCCCACACACAGCGGGGGTGTGGCTGCTTTCAGGCTTGGACAGCTGTGGGGGCTGAGGTTCCTGAAACTGAGCACAGGGGACCTGGGAAGCCTGGGCACTTGCTCCACTTGGCGTTTGGCCCAAAGTTCTCTGTCCCCCCACCCTCACAAGCCTCTCTGGCCTGGTGCACATACCTTCTTGTTCCTGTGCCCAGCCAGTACACAGGTTGGGGCTGGGATATGGAGGCAGGTGAGGTCCTAGCTGAAGGGGACTCAGCCTTGTGCTGAGGAAGTGGTTTCCTGACAGCATCCTCTGCATGGCGGGGAGGCCATGAGGGGAGAAGGCCAGTCCTTGGTAACCAAAAGGGCCCCATGGCCTGAGGGTGCTGGAGTGGAGCCCTAGGCCTTACTGGCTGTCCAGAGCTCTTAGCCCTGTCAGAGTCAGTCCCCACCTGCTCCTCCCAGAAGGCGTGGGGTGGCTGTGGTGGCAGCCCCCTGCCAACAATAACGGTTGGTTCTGGGATCTGGGACTGGGCGAGCCGGCCAGGCAGGTCCCTGGTGCGCCTGTGCCAGAGGCCACCCCCCTCCTTGGTTTCAAGGTCCTGTCCTATAAGCCCAGCCTTTTGTGGTTCAGCTGGGTCGCAGGCTGGATCCCAGGCCCCTTCCTTGAGAAGCAGAGGCCTTGCACCCCTCCAGGGTTGCTGGGCGGGAGAGTGATTCCAGCCCTTCAGGTGGGTGGGGGGGCCAGACGGGCTGGGGAGGGCTCCTCGGTCTTGGGTGGAATTTTCTCCCCACACGGGAGGGTTTCATTCCGGCCTCAGGCAGCTCCTCCTTCCAGTCCTCCCCCAAGGGGAGCCCCAGTCAGGGCTGGGCCCCAAAAGGAGAGCCAGGAGGGGCTGTGGAGGTGGGACCTCCCTGTGTCCCCAGCTCATTCATCCGTACATGTACAGTGAATACTGCTAAGTTAAACATTTTCTAGCATTACATGTTCATTGTTTTGTTTTGAGATGGAGTTTCGTTCTTGTCGCCCAGGCTGGAGAACAATGGCACAATCTCTGTTCACTGCAACCTCTGCCTCCTGAGTTCAAGTGACTCTCCTGGCTCAGCCTCCCCAGTAGCTGGGATTACAGGTTAGGGTTTTTTGTATTTTTAGTAGAGATGGGGTTTCGCCATGCTGGACAGGCTGGTCTCGAACTCCTGACCTCAGGTGATCCGCCCCTGCCTCGGCTTCCCAAAGTGCTGGGATTACAGGCGCCTGGCCTACATGTTTATTGTTTAAAAACTGGGAAAGTATCGAGAAGAAAGTAAAGGCTCCCCACCCCTAGAGATAACCACTGAAAGTATTTGGTCTGTTTCCTGCCCGGCCTTTTCCTACACACACTTTTTGGTGCCTTAAGTCAGGCTCCCCACGGACAGGAGCGGCCCCTCCCAGACGCTGGTGTCTGCGCCCGCCCCCCGCTGCCTTGTCCCAGCTCTGGGGGGTCCCTGGGTCTCCAGGGCACATCGTTGCTCCACTGCTCGCTCGAGCCTCCACGGGTCGGGCAGCCGGGGCAGCGCAGAGAGGCGGGGACAGGCCACAGCGGCGCAGAGCGGCTCCTCCCGGGGCCGGCCCAAGCAGGGGTCTCGGTGCCTGGGAGGCGGCAGGGGTCCCTCCGGGCCCGGTGCCCCCGGGGCCCCGTCCGGGTCCCAGCTGGGGCGGGGCGCGCCCAGCGTTTCCGGGAGGAGCGGCCCCGGGCGCGCGGCAGGTGCGGCGGCGCAGTTCGCAGGTAGGCGACCGCTGGTCCCGCCGCTGAGGCCCCTCCACCGCCGCCCGCCCGGCACCCGCCGCCGGCACCCCCTCGGGGCCGCGTGGCCCGCGCCAAACCTGAGCGTCTCGGTCGGGAACTCGAGTTACACCCTCGAGGCGCGCGGCGGCAGGGGTAAGGGCGGGCTTGTACCCCAGAGTTTCGGGGAGCGCAGGCGGTTGGCCGCCCCACCCAGCCAGCCCATCCTCCCTGCTCCCTGGGGCCCTGCCGCCACGCGGCTTCCGGCTAGGGTGGACCTCCGGTCTAGCCGGCAAGCCGGAGGGAGAGGCGACAACGTGGCTTGGAGGCAATGGCCCTGGCCTCTTGTGTCCCCTTCTCTCACCTGCCCAGACTTGCCCTCTTTGAAGGTCGCCTGGGCTAAGGAACCTGGAAGGACCCTGGGCGGGGAGTGAGGGGAGAGGATCACAGCTCCCTGGTTGGGGAAGGCGGGTTTTGCTGGGGAGCAGCTTTGGGAAATCCGGGATTAGGACACTGTGTGAAGGACAGGTGGCTCTGGTTAGGGGGAGGGGTGTCCCTGCAAGGAGGTGGGATGGGAGGCCCCAGGGAGTTCTGGGACAGGGAAGGGCCTTAGTGTTGGGGGGCAGGGGTATTAGGTCTCGAATCTGAGTGTTTCTGAGTGGAGCCTCAGAGGCAGGGCTCCGCAGGCTGGGACCTTGCCCCTGCAGTCTGTCGGCTTAGTTGTGCAGAGGGAGGGGCCAGTGGGCAGAAGGGAGAAGTTTGCCCTGCCTGCCAGCTGTCATGAGGCTGGGCCACACAGGCCCAGGCCAGGGGCTAAGGACTTGGTTAGGACTGGTTGAGCCCTCACTTAGGATCAGATCTCCAGTTGCAGAGCGTGACGGGCTCCTTCCTCACTGACCTGCAGCCAGCTCCTCTCAGCTTTCAGGATCCCACCTTCCTTATCACCAGGTCTTCTCCACTGGCCCCTGAGATTGCCCTCACCTCCAGCTCCCCCTCTCCCAAAGTCGGCAGCCCCTCCTAGGGCTGTAGCCTCTCCCTGGGTTCCAACCTCCTGAGATGCCAGACCCATTGGGGCAGTACTCACAGGTCCTGAGCTGCATCACCCACCCCAGTGACACCCCAACCCTGCAGCATTTTCTACATCCACCCCCCTGGCCCCACCTTGCCTTCCGCCCACCTTCCCACCTGCTGCAGGGAGGGCCCTCAGCTGAGCCGTCAGACATATTTGCACCCCATCTGCTGCCCTCCTGAATTTTTTCTGACCCTCCCTTGGCTTCACAGCACCTGAAGGCCAACTGAGGCCCCCTGCTCCCATGGCCAGCCCTGGAAAGCCTGGGGCTGATGAGGCCCAGGAGGAGGAGGGGGAACTTGAGGGGGGCTCTGCAGGGCCACAGGCTGCAATGCTGGAGCAGGCCCAGGAGCTGTTTCTGCTGTGTGACAAGGAGGCCAAGGGTTTCATCACCAGGCACGACCTGCAGGTGAGTCCCTCGCCCCAAGAGATTGCTTCGGCCCTGGTTGACCTCAGCAGCTCATCTCTGCTCTCCTTCCCTGACCAGGGACTCCAGAGCGACCTGCCCCTCACACCAGAGCAGCTGGAGGCGGTGTTTGAAAGTCTGGACCAGGCTCACACTGGCTTTCTCACTGCCCGGGAGTTCTGCCTGGGCCTAGGTGAGCCTGAGGCCTGCCTATCTCCCACTGCCCAGAGCTGGAGGCCTGATCAGGAGGCCTGGTACCTGTGGTGCCCCGAGGGCTGCCTGTGCCTCTCCTCCTCCTCCCTCCGGGGCCCGTGCTGGTGTCTGCACGCACTGGCGCCTGCACGCACTGGCGCTTGGGGGCTCCCAGCTGCTGTCCAGTGTGTGGAGCTGACCTTCCTGCCCCTCACCTCCTCTCCCGTGCTAAGCTCCGGTGGGGCTGGGAGCCGGCCTGTCACCTCTTGTTCCCAGGCCAATAGGACCAGAATAAGGAAGAAAAACAGGAAACTGGGCCCTGAGAGAGGGCAGGATACTCGTTGGGAGGGTGAACAGGGACAGAGCCAGGGTGGCGACCCACAGCGGTGGTAATCGCTCGCTCTATGCCCGCAGGGATGTTTGTGGGGGTGGAGTCGGCCCAGGGAGCGACCCCCCGCAGGACTCCCGAGGAGACCTTTGAGTCGGGCTGGGGCTGGCTCGACGTGCAGGGCACGGGGGCCTCTCTGGATGAGGAGGAGGAGGAAGAGGAGGAGCGATTCCACACTGTGTTGGAGCAACTAGGGGTGGCCCCGGTCCTGGGCGAGTGAGTCGGCGCTGGCCCCGCTCCCACTGCCCCCTCTGCTGTTTCTCTGCCTGCATGCTGTCTGCCCTTGTCACCCGAGTGCTGGTCCTGCACAGGGTCTCTAGGGCGGGTCAGGCCTAGCCTAGCGTCAGCTGCGACTCCTTGGGAGGGACCTGGCGTGATTTCCCGCAGAATTTGCATTTCATGAGGCAGCAGCCAGGGCTGCAGGGAGGAGGGGCAGCGCCGGGCGCGGGGCCACATACTGGCACTGCCCGGGATACGCACACCGACCACGCACGCCGGGCAGGGGCGAAAGCGCTCACGGGAGGGATGCCCTGCACGCTGCAAGTGCTCCTGTCCTGCCCAGGGACGAAGGAGTCTCCCAAGGGTTTGCCGTTGGCGGAGGGGAGCCTGCTCCCCGCCTCTGCCAGCTCCAGCCTCAGTTCCCGCCCGCCCTCCAGGCAGCGGGCTGTGAGGACGCTCTGGGCCCGGCTGCAGCGCGAGCGCCCCGAGTTGCTGAGCTCTTTCGAGGATGTTCTGATACGCGCCTCAGCCTGCCTGGAGGAGGCGGCCCGGGAGCGCGACGGCCTGGAGCAGGCGCTGCGGAGGTGAGGGCCGGGGTGGGGTCTGGAGCCAGTGGAGGGCCTCAGGGTAGCAGCAGAGGTGGTGCCGGGGGGCTGTAGCACTGGCAAGTTCTCATCCGGGGTCGCCTGGTCCCCCGAAGGCGCGAGAGCGAGCACGAGAGGGAGGTGCGCGCTCTGTACGAGGAGACCGAGCAGCTTCGCGAGCAGAGCCGGCGCCAGCCGAGTCAGGTGGGTCTCGGGCCCCGCCCCTCCCGCCAGGCCCAATCCCACCGCGCTGGCCTTCCTGGCTCCGCCTTCTCCGAATTAATCCCTCCCCGACGGCCCCACCTCCGCGGGTCCAGGCTGCCCTCAGCCCGATGAGACCCCGCTGGGCCTCACCCATCACGCCCGCCTGGTTTTCTCCACCCGACCCCGCCTCGCCCTGGCCCACTCCCAGCCCTTGGCCCTCAGTGTACCTCTTTTGCATGGCCGGGCGGCCAGCGGAAGCTCAGTGGTCCTCCCTGCGTCCCAGAACTTTGCCCGCGGGGAGCAGAGAAGCCGCCTGGAGCTGGAGCTGCAGAGCCGCGAGCAGGACCTGGAACGCGCGGGCCTGCGGCAGCGGGAGGTGAGCACCTGGCCCCTGCCCCGTCCCTAGGGTCACCCGTGCACTCTCCCCCTGTGCCTCAGCGTCCCCAGTCCCCGGGTTGTCTGGAGCCTGGGGCCCGCGCAGCACCCCGGGGAAGAGGGGGCGTTCCTTGCCGGTCTCCATCCTTCCACCGTTCCACCCTCCAGTTAGAACAGCAGCTGCAGGCCCGGGCTGCGGAGCACCTGGAGGCGCAGGCCCAGAACTCCCAGCTGTGGCGGGCGCACGAGGCGCTGCGAACGCAGCTGGAAGGGGCGCAGGAGCAGATCCGCAGGCTGGAGAGCGAAGCGCGAGGCCGCCAGGAGCAAACCCAACGGTGCCGGGGGACGGGGCTGGGGCGGGCCCCGGTACGTGTCCCGTGGGCGGGGCTGACAGGCGCTCAGCTCTGGGCCACTTTCATCCCCATCTCAAGTCCCAGGCCCGCCCAGTGGGAGGGAGGGTCTTCTAGGGGGTCCTGGGGCTCCCCAAGGAGCCTTCCTGCAGCCGGATCACCACCTCCCACCCACAGAGAGGTGGTCGCCGTCTCCAGGAACATGCAGAAAGAGAAAGACAGCCTGCTACGGCAACTGGAGCTGCTCAGGTACAGTCAGGCTCAGGCCTGAGAAGGAAGGGGCTCAGCAGAGCTTGGGGGGTCCAAGCTCCCCAACATTCTTGGCTGCCACTCTACTCCACTGGAATCTTTTCTTATGTCTGCCTTTCACCCCTCACGCTGCAGTCCCAGCCAGACATCTCTCTTCAGTCTGAGGGGAGTCAGAGCCCGCCTCCCCCCAACCTTGAGCTCCCTCAGACCCTCTCAATGTCTGACTCCTCCTTTCCTAGGGAACTGAACACACGGCTGCGGGATGACAGGGACGCCTGCGAGGCCAGGCGGGCAAGTGGCAGCCGCAGGAAGGCTCTGACGACTGCCCACCTGCCTGGGCCCACCTGCTGCTGCTGCTGCTGCTGGGCTCGGCCCCACAGACGCGGCTCTGGCCACCTTCCCAGTGCCCGGTGACCAGCTCCGAGTGACTCAGAGCATCAGCTAGAAGCTGCTCTTCTGGGAGGCTTGTCATGGGTAGGGGGTGCCCACTCAGGATGTGGGCTCTCCCCAGGGGGCCCCAGGATCGCCTGACTGAAGAACTGAAGACATGAAGGACCTAGCCTGGGAGTGGTCAGGGTCCAGGGAGTGGTCAGGGTCCCGTGTGCCCTCTGCCAGTCTTCGCTCTGTCCCCAAGCAACCCCAACTCAGTTCAGCAGAAAACCCCCCTCATCAAATAAAACCTACTGACTGCATTGCATCCTCCTGGGCCTTCCGTGCATCTGGGGGCCACAGCCTGTGTATGCCACATGCATGAGGTGGGCACTGTGCACACGTGCTGTGTGGGTGAACACAGGGAGCGAGGGCCTGCGGCGATGGGGCTGAGGTCCTGCGTGTCTTCTTGTGTCCCTGGTCATGCCCCAAACTCACTACCCATCAAGGCTGGAGCCTCCACAAGGCCCTCGCCAGTGTGTGGATCAGGGTTCCCCACTGTCTCACCAGGGAGCCCGGGCAGTTCCTAGCTTCAGTCGGCCACCCCCTTCCATGCTGGTCCTCACTTGTGGCAGTGATGAATGAGCTTGGTGGGTGGGGAGCCCCCTCCTTCCTCACTCCCACTCTCCGCCTCTTGGTGCAGCCCTAGGCCAGCCCTACCATTCCTCCTTCACCTCCTAGCACCGCTCCCAGTGGCCCCTTCCAGTCTGGAGGGCATGGGCCCCCCAGAACCCCATGGGTATTTCTCGCTGGGACCCCAGGCCTGCCCGGGTCTCCAGGCTGTCCACACTGCACGCAGAGTAGCCCCTCTCCTGCATCTACCCACAGCGCTAGGCCCTCCCCTCCCCCAGGCCGGCATCTGTTCTGCCGACCCCTGCAGCCTCTGGGCGGTTCCTGGGTGCTGAGAAAGGATGGGGGTTGGGCATGGAGGAGGGCCCGGTCGCCACAGCCCAGGCCCTCTGGCTGGGCTGGTCGCCGTCTTATCTCCGGGCCTGCCTCCCGCCCAGCTCCTCTGTCCCTGGACCGGATGAGCCCTTGATGGGCTGTTGGCACCCCCAGGGCTGCAGCTCGCCCGGCCTCCGCAGTGTCGGGTCGACCCCCAGCGCCTACACCCACCGGCTCCCGCCCGCCACGCGGGTTCAGACCTGTCGAGGTCCTGACGCCCCGGGCGGGGCTTGAGGCCGGGGCGGGGCCGGGGCGGGGCGGGGCGTCCCCCTCGGAGGCGCCGGGCCGCGCATTCTCAGCGCTGGGAGCCGCCGCCCCCGCAGCCGCCGCCGCCCGGTCCCGGACTCCGACGAGTAGTAGGTGAGTGCGACGTCACGGCAGCCCGGCCGAGCGGGGCGAGGGGAACGAGGGGAACGAGGAGGCCGAAGGCCCTGCGCGCCCCAGTCCCGGAGGCCCAGCCGCAGGCGCCGGGAGGTTCCGGGAGGCCGCACCCACCGCCTGGCCCAGCTCCTTCGCAGGCCCTTCCGCGGGAGGCGGACGCCGGTCGGGTGAGGGAGGCGCAGTGGCAAGGAGAGGCGCCTCCCGGACCCTTGGACCGGCCTGACGGCACCCTTCGGCCCAGGGGTCCCGGGACGCGCAGCCTGGACACCCTGCTCATTGTCCCTGGACACGGCCGCCTTCCCTCCGCCCGCAGCCGCCCCTGCCCGCGTGCAAGTGGGCGCGCCATTGGCCGCGCCGGGCGGGGTCGGCGGCGGTGACCTCATTGCAGTGCCGCGGGGACGCTTGGCAGGCGCGGAGTCCCAGGTCCTCCTGACTGGGGCTCCCCCTGATAGGGCGCGGGTCGCCCAGGGGCCTGGTGCGGGCCCCGGGGACTCGGGGAGGGCCGGAGAGCTATTTTTGGATGGCCTTTTCCCAGGGGGTTCAGAGGGACTAGGCATTCCTGGGAAGAGGGGCCACTCCGCAGCGAGTCGCCTGTGTCCTCGCGGTGGAGGCCGCATCTGTGCCTTGAACCAGCCTCTCCAGAAAGCCTGGGACCTCACAGCCAGGCCAGGGGCAGATCCGTGAGGGGCTCACACATCCCCCCAGCTCAGTGACAGACGCACATCCCCCCCATCGGTGGCAGGCACACCGCCCCGCTGGTGGCAGGGTCTGCTCGTGCCACCCCTGGTGCGTGTATTTAGGCCCCGGGCTTCATGGAGGGTGAATGTCCCCTCTCAGCTCAGTGGTCAGGTCTGTCCCCGCGAGCTTTATGATGCCTCTTTCCCAGGCTGTAGCTGCTGCTGTTTGGGGCAGAAGGGCCAGTGATGGGCCTGGGGAAGGCATGAGGTCCCTCCCAGGATCAGACACTGTTCGGGAATGTCCTCTGCCTTGGGAGGCCAAGGCGGGTGGAACACCTAAGGTCAGGAGTTCAAGACCAGCCTGGTCAACATGGTGAAACCCTGTCTCTACTAAAAATACAAACATTAGCTGGGCGTGGTGGTGGGCGCCTGTGATCCCAATGACTCAGGAGAATGAGGCAGGAGAATTGCTAGAACTCAGGAGGTGGAGGTTGCAGTGAGCCAAGATCGAGATCATTTAACCATATGCACTCCAAGCCTCGGTGACAGAGCGAAACTCCATCTCAAAAAAAAGGAAAAAGGCCGGGCGCGTGGCTCAAGCCTGTAATCCCAGCACTTTGGGAGGCCAAGACGGGCAGATTCATGAGATCAGGAGATCGAAACCATCCTGGGCCAACACGGTGAAACCCCGTCTTCACTAAAAAAAATACAAAAAAACTACGGCGGGTGGCAGCGCCTGTAGTCCAGGCTACTTGGGAGGCTGAGGCAGGAGAATGGCGCGAACCCGGAGGCGGAGCTTGCCAGTGAGCTGAGGATCGCACACTGGCATCCAGCCCTGGTGAGCAGCAAGCGAGGACTCCGTCTCAAAAAAAAAAAAAAAAAAAAAAAAAAAAGGAAAAAAAGAAAAGAAATGTCCTCTGCCTTGCCCCACCCTAGCCCAGACTAAAATACCAGACTTGGCCACTCCTCTCTCTGCCTCCAGAATGAACCCAGCCCACTCTGGCCCTTGGGCCAGACGTGTAACCTGTGACCTGACGTGTCCTTGCCCCTCTAGCCTAGAGTCCTGGGGAGCTTCTGTCCACCTGTCCTGCAGAGGAGTCGTTCCCAGCCCGGTTGGTGTGTGCTGGGCAGGGTGGGGCAGAGCAAGCGGGGCGGTGAAAGTCCAGGCCTGGCTGTGCTGTCTGGAAACGTGGCCCGGGGCGCTCACCTGCTGTCTGCACCCCATGCGGTCCCTGCCTTCCCTGTGCTCACAGCTTGCCCGCTGCTGCATGTTGGGCAGGGCACGGGGCCTCTGGGGAGGGGCACAGCCTGTCTGTGCTGCCCCTTCGTGTTGGTGTGCGTCCCCTGTCCAGGAAAAACCCTCCCAGTGTGCCAGGCTCCACCTGCCTCCACGCTCCATTCTCCCCACTCGGGCCAGGAGGAAGGAAGGGCTGCCCTTTAACAGACCGTAAACAGGCCTGGAGAGCCTTAGGAAGGGGCTGAGCTGGGGCCTGTCTGAGCCTCTGCCCCTCTGCTGTCTCTGTCTCTGAGTGGCCTCCTCCGCCCTCACTGCAGGCCCGTAGTCTCCTGTCAGCCTGTGACGTGGGGCCCCGGGAATGCCATGGGGGGCGGGCAGGCTGGCATGAGCTCACCGGAGGTACCCGCTAGGGCTTCCTCCCCGGGCCGCCAGCAGGGGTGAGTCAGCAGTGATGATGGGCGGTCCTCCATGACCCCTGGCCTATCTGTGGGCACCAGGGGTCTCTCGTGGCTGCACCTGGTCAGGGCTCCTGAGTCGCTAGGAGGTGACACGTCATGTTCCCACAGGGGCTCCTTCGCAGGTCTCCCAGGACAGTGGCTGGCTCCACCCGACTCCTGAGCCGGCTTGGGCATCTGTGTTCCCTCCTCCTATCTGTCCCTGTCAGGGGTCTGGTGCTGTGGCCCCGCTGACCCCTCCCCTGCCTCCCCAGCCCCAGGATGGGTGAGTTTAACGAGAAGAAGACAACATGTGGCACCGTTTGCCTCAAGTACCTGCTGTTTACCTACAACTGCTGCTTCTGGGTGAGGAGGGGTCGCCTTGCCCCCACTCCCACCCCCACCCCTGCCCCTCCTGGGTCACCATCAGACCTGGGCAGACTCGGTGACTGGTGTGTACTGCTTGTAGCTGGCCGGCCTGGCTGTCATGGCAGTGGGCATCTGGACGCTGGCCCTCAAGAGTGACTACATCAGCCTCCTGGCCTCGGGCACCTACCTGGCCACAGCCTACATCCTGGTGGTGGCGGGCGCTGTCGTCATGGTGACCGGGGTCTTGGGCTGCTGTGCCACCTTCAAGGAGCGTCGGAACCTGCTGCGCCTGGTCAGCAGGGCGCAGGGCCACGGGGCGGGGTGGTTTGGATGGGGCCCAAGGGGGTTGTTGCTGCAGGCTTTGAACCTGTGCCTTGCTGTGCTCACCTGGGGGGGCACGGTCCTTCCACCCCTGCCTAGTCCTGTGGGTCCCCACATTCCCGCTGGACCAGCTGAGGGAAGACACCAGCTCCACAGGAAACCTTCAGGGAGGGTGGCCACCACTCAGCCCCCACCTGGAGCCTGGGGAGCCGGGGTGGGGACTCTGCTCTGAGGTGCCCAGGCACTAGGCCTCAGAACTAGGCCTCCTTGTGCACCCTGCCCCCCCCCCCCCCCCCCCCCCCCCCCCCCCCCCCCCCCCCCCCCCCCCCCCCCGCCCAGTACTTCATCCTGCTCCTCATCATCTTTCTGCTGGAGATCATCGCTGGTGTCCTCGCCTATGTCTACTACCAGCAGGTGAGGGGCCTGGGCAGGCCATTCAGAGACACAGACATGCACAGGTGGGGTGGACACACACAGATGCACACACATGGCTAGCCCCAGCCCCTATCCCCACGGTCCCAGAGCTGACCAACATGCCACTGGGCCTTGGAGGTGAGGTCTAGGTCTCTGCAGGGGCACATGGGGTCAGGCAGGTGTCCAGGGGATCCGGAAGCCATCTCTGCCTCTGCCGCACTCCACTGTCACCCTGGTGACGGTCCTGGCACCACCCAACCTCCCCTCGTGCCGAGGTCTGACCTCAGCCCTTCCCTCTGGCTCTGAGCCAGGACCTGGGCCTCCCCTCAGGCCATCCTGGGGCTCTGCCAGCCCCACCTTGGAAGGTCTTAGACTGAGACTGAAGTTTCTTGTACTCCAACCCCAGCTGAACACAGAGCTCAAGGAGAACCTTAAGGACACCATGGCCAAGCGCTACCACCAGCCGGGTCATGAGGCCGTGACCA